CATTTGAGGGGTTTCCTAAAAACCCTAACCCTAATTTCCACCTCCTCTATATATACTCATTAGTTGAGGGTGGAGGCAAGGTTAGATTAGAGAGGTCAGATTTGAGAGAACAAATTTGGGAGAATTATTTGATTGTTTGAGCAAAAGCTTTATGCTTTGCATTTGAGAGATCTCTAGAGAGAGTTTGAGTGAAACATCTCTAAGGTAGTTTGATTATCACCATTCTTAGAGAGGTTGAGTTAACCACCACATTGGTGTATTTGATTATTTGTAACCATTATTTTCATAGTGGATTTCTGATCTGGACTAGGTCCCGTGGGTTTTTACTTCTTCATTGGAGAAGGTTTTCCCACGTTAAATCTGGTTGTGTTCTTCTTCTCTCTCTCCTGTTTTCGTTTTGATTTTCCGTTGCGCTACCCGACCTGGTGAAGTTCAGGCCGAGGTATTGCCGAGATCCGAGATCAGGATCTTGTTGATTGACTTCCGCACAAAAGGCCCCTGAGCCGATCTGAGGGAACCGAGTTTTTCCCAACAATGTGATCATTAATCCTTATTTTTAATGATATTAGGCTTCAAATCTTGCTTAAATAAGGAAATAAATCATGAAATATAAAGAAATCAGGAAACTATTAACATACTCTAAACTATTTTAAGGTACAATCAAGATATTATGAGATATTTTTCATATGATCTAACAAGTCGTATTCAGGACAACCTAAATCTTGTTTGCCCCTTACAGGTCTTCCATCGTCGGTTGCATCCACCTTCACCTCAGGATAACCCAGCTCGTGTTCGCCCGTTACAGGTCTATCATCGTCGACTACATCGATCTTCACCTCCTGAATTCCTCTCTACTCCTGTGGCTGATGAGGTCAATGCGGACTCCTCTTTAACACCTACTTATACTTTGGCTTTGCCTCCTAATGCTTACTTTCCCATTGGACTCAAAAAAGGTATTAGTTCTTCTCATAATCCTTTTCCCCACTATTTTACTTTTAGTTATCATTGTCTATCTCCCTTGCATTATGTTTGTTTTTCTATTTTGTCTTTTGTGTTTATTCGTAAGACTGCGGGTGAGGCTTTTCCCTATTCTCAATGGACAAACTATGGTTGATGAAATGTATGCACTTTAGAGAAATGGTACTTGGGACCTCATTCCTCTTTCTCCAGGGAAGTCAGTTGTAGGTTATTGGTGGATCTTCACCATTAAGGTTTGACCCTGATGGTCAAGTTTATCATCTTCAGACTTGTTTGGTGGCAAAAGAGTATACATGATTTTAGGACTGGATTATAGAGACACTTTCTCCTTGGTGACAAAAATGGCTTCTATTTGCTTACTTTTGTCTATGGCTGTCATTCGTCATTGACCTCTTTGTCAATTGGATATAAAATATGTTTTTCTCTATAGTGACCTCTCTCGAGAAGTCTATATGGAGCAATCTCCTAGATTTGTTGCTTAGGAAGTCTTTTAGACTCTTTTGTCATCTTCGCAAATCTCTGCTAGGCCTCAAACCTCTTGGATTAGCAAAATTAGCATTATGGTTGAACAGTTTGGTTTGACTTGGAGTGGGGTTGACCATTCAATCTTCTAACATTGTTCAACCGAAAGGTGCATTTATTTGGTTGTGTACATTGATGACATAGTACATGTGATGATCATCAAGCAATTATCCAGGTAAAATAACATCTTTGTCATCACTTTCAGACTAAAGATATTGAAAAACTTGATAATTCTTAGGGATAAAGGTGGAGTAATGGGAATAGTTCTGCTAAATGCCAAATCAGGGGTAGCTTCTCTCAAATCCAAAGAGATATAGATCAATTAGGAAAATTGACTTACTTTAGTAACTTGTCCAAACATCTCGTTTGCAATTAACATGGTACGTCAGTGTTAGGAACTCAAGTGTGTGAATGATAGAAGTTCCAGATTGGGAATGGATTTAGCAAGGAACATATAAGTGAAAAGATCTATAAACCTAATGCATTCAGGAACATATAAATAGTGCCTAGGTTGGTTGTATAGACTAACCAGAATAATGTAATTACGATAATTGCGATAACCATGATATCTGTATTTGTTATTTTTTGGCTATATAAAACTAGTTTCGGTTATGTAGTTAAGACGTACAAATTTCACCAAATTTCTCTGGTTTCCTCCATCCTTTCCAGTTATGCTAAATTGTGATATAATTCAAAATTCAATGTTTGGCACTATCAGGTGCAGACAACTCCTGACAGATTCATATCTAGATGATATTAAAACCTGCCCTCAAGTTACGAAGAACTCTTGTAGCAGTAACAACCTGTTTATGTACTTGAGCATATAGCTTAGATCCATTTTGTAATCTGGCTCTGGCATCTAGAAGAAAGATCATGTTCTCATTCTAATCTCTGAAATTGGAAGACAAATTTTGGGATAGAAAAAAGGTACAATTTTTTGTTGAAGGTAGGTGCCTTTCTTCAGTTAAGGGCTCTTGTTTCTTCAAGTTCTGTCGTGAAGAGGCATAATCGGATTGGCAACCCTCCAGTGACCTAAGACTTACCAGTGGGTAAGCTGCAATACATGATTCCCTTTTCAAGAAAAAGCCAACAGACAAGTAGAAAGCACTGGGTGGAGGCTGTGAATGTTGTATATATTTGTATATTTTCATGGGGTTTAACCAAATTGTCTTGCCTTATAAAAAAAAAAAAAATTGTCTTGCATTATCTACCCCCGCCCCACTTATTTCAAATCTCCTTTTTTCCGCTGTGGCGGTAAGTGGATAGTTTAATGATGTCTGAATCGGTTGTTATAGGAAAAACTTTCCTGCTAAATGCTAATGAAGCGAATGAGAAATTATGCATACACAGACAATGAGAGAAACCAAAAAAATAGTGGCGGAGAAGTTATTCATCAATTGTTTTACACTTAAATTTCAAAATTTAAACTCAGTTAAATTCAACAATACTCAATTTACCCAAGTGTCTACCTATAAAAGAAAGTCGTGCCTTTTACAAATGTCTAATTCCAACCCAAGTCATCAACCCAAGTCGGCTTTCAAAAGCAAATCCCATGAACCCACTCGTTGTATTAATGAACCCATGTATACTATCAAGCTTCAAAACACCTCCCAAATGTTGAAAAGGCAAGACAAAAATTACCGCAGTATTATATTTATAAAATTTTTGTTATAAATATTTATTCTACAAATATTTATTTTCACGAGTCTAATGTATGTAAAATTAGTGAGTCAGTTGAGTGAACTATAAACCTGAGTCAATTGATTCACATAAAATTCAACAAGCTCAACTAAGACGATAACAAAACCGATTTAATAGAGGACCAGTCACTAATTCGATTATTGAGTTCGAGTAGAGAATGATAAAACTGCTTTAAATAGAGCCAGACTTTTCTATCTAACACCCCCATTTACCTAACCGGATTGTTACATAAAAATAGTATAGATGCACACTTAATTTAAATATAATAGCAGAAGATTATAAATAATATTATAGTAGTTCTCTTGAAATTACATTTACATGATTAATTAAAACTTTTTCTTTATGTTGACAACGTAATAATAAACTACACAGTCCCATAACTGCATAGAATTCAAAACTTAACATCAAATTATGAATTTGAGTGGTTTTCTATTGTAGTAAACAGAATATAACATGAACATAGCATCAAATAATTGGGCTTCTAATCACTAGCATAGCATCTGGTAAAACAAGCCAATGATGTTGAGCACGGAAAAGAATTACCCTCCATGAATGGTGATTTAAGCAGTACGAGCTTTATTTCTTTCTCATGACCTGATCTCATCTCACACATTCTTTTCTGGAGTGTATGAACTGAATAAATATGTTTACTGGTGGTGAAAACAAAAATAAAAATACTGGGTTGGCTCCATTTTCATTACGGAAAAGTTGGGACTTGGGACCCATAATTGAACTGTTGACTCTTCCAATTGTCTAGATAAACTTCTGACCTTCTGGGCCCTATTGATCATGAAAAAAAAAACAGCAAAGTATATGTTACTCTGATTATTTATTTATTATATGATTTGTTAACAAAAACAATGTTGGTTTTTATTTAACTGGCTTGCATTCATTTTGGGCTATCTTGCAGTTTGTCAGCTGAAACCAAAAAAGTCTAGCAGTAACACCTTTTAATAGTAATGAGAAATAAATTCTCAATGATATTGAGTTTTCAAATTATGACCAATTAGCAAACTAAATCTTTTTTCACTTTTGACATACATAAACATTCAGACGGCATACAAACATACATTCAAATGAAACAAACATTCTATGCATATTCAACATATATTTCAATGATATGAAAACCATGTGAATAAGAATAAACATAAAACATAATGTGAATGGTTAACTTTAATGAAATGCATGATTAATGCAACATTATTTCCTTTATTTTCATTTCTTTGCATCATCTATTTTCTTATAGCAGGTGAGGTACCTTGTTACTAATCAAATTTCTCTAAATTTATTTTCTTTGCAAATCCCATCAATTGGTGATTACTTACAACCACCGTTAAATAAGAGTTATTAATTTAATTTTGATCTAATAATCATAAGAGTAAATACCTTTTTTGTCCTCAACAAATGTTACGATACCCGCTTTAGTCCCTAGCAAATAATAAAAAGACTTATCATGGTCCCTAAGAAATTCAAAATGGACGCATTTTAGTTCTTATGGGGACTAATATGGATCTTTTTTGAATTTGTGAGGGACCTCGATTTCAACTAAATGGGTGAGACCTCAATTTCAACTAAATGGTACATTTTGAATTTTTTAGGAACTACAATAAGTCTTTTTATTTGCTAGGGACTAAAATATGTTTCGTGAAATTTGTCCCACCAAAAATGGTATTTACTCAAAAAAAAAAAAAAAAAAAAAAAAAAAAAGTGGTAAAATGTTGTAATAGAATTTTTTTTTATAAATATAACCTCAAGAAAAATTGTAAATGGCAAAGATGTTAAACTGCAGATAACCTTGAACCAGCAGAAAACACCTTATCTATGTTTATCTAGAATCCGATGAGTAAGAAACAAAAAAAAAAAACATTCGACTTGTTACATTTATCCAATGTCTTCATTCCATCTTGATCTTCTTTTCATCAATCAACAAAATATCTTAACCCTTGATCCATGACAATCATAGAATCCATTATATCCAACTTGTCTCTTCAATTCCGTTCTTCCACAGCCCAAAAACAAAAACCCTCACATTTTCTCTGCTGCTCCAATGGCTGCTGCGGCAGCGTTTCGATCCAAGTCCTTGAGTCACAACCAAAAGGCCATTCTCACCATGTCCCAATTTAGATACCTGTTATTCAGCTACGCTCACGCGGGTCGCGTGGTTAATTCCCACTCACCGCACCGAACCAAGTGGGAGGATCCCTTCGCCAACACACCCTATCACTTCACCTCTTTCAAACCCGTCTCGCTTCGCGGCGAGTTCCTCGGAAAGGCCACCCGTTTCCCCAGTAACCTCGCCGCCGCCGGCGGCAGGGTGTCTAACGTTGTTTCTTGCTCCCAGGGCGGAGAGCCGCCGGAGTTGTGGTCCGGCGAGGGGATTGTTGTCCGTAACGGCGATTCCGGTATCCGCGGCCGTTATACCGGGTCGGATTTGAAGGATGGGTTTTGGGGTGGGTCCAATTTGGGGGGTGATTTTCCAACGCCAAAGGAGATTTGCAAGGGACTTGATAAATTTGTAATTGGACAGGAGAGAGCCAAGAAGGTCACTTTTCTTTTTATTTTTCCTCCTTTTGTTTCATTACAACCAAAATAAAAATTAAACCAACAGCTATCATTTAATGTCATTTTGTAACTGTTGATTTGATTTTGATCCAATAATCATAAAGGTGGTTGAAAGAGATTGTAAGGGAAAAGAGGTTGTAAGAATAGTTTTCCTCTTTGTTTCAAATGCTGATTTTATTATTGTTATTTTGGTGGTTTTTTGTTGACAGTTTTAGTTTGTTTTGCTATCTCATATGCAGGTGCTTTCTGTGGCAGTTTATAACCACTACAAGAGAATATTCCATGAATCTTCTTCACCAAAGTGGTTAGTATAGTACTTTCTCTCAGCTATTATTTCTGCTGCTATTGTTTGGTGTGCAATTGGAAATGTATAGACAGTGACTGATCACTACTCCATATATTCCTTCGGGTCGTCAATTTGTCAATTGGCTGATGTCTTAACCAAGGGTCTTCCTACTGATAGATTTCAAGAACTTACTACCAAGCTGGGAATGATAAATATCAATTTCTCAGCTTGAGGGGGAGTATTGTAAATAATAGAATTATTTTATTATTATTTTGTAATAGTTAGAATACTCTATAAGTGTATTATTTAAATAGAGAACTCTTGTACAAATATTATACAATTCAATTATATACAAATCTTCTTTTCTAGTGTAATAATCTTTGTTTGTATTAACTATGTTATTTGTATGTATACTACTTTGGGCATGTTTTTACTATTTGGAGTGCTAGGCCTGCAGGCGATTCAAGCAATGATAAAGCCGATGCTGTTGATGATGATGATGATAGAGTTGAACTTGAAAAAAGCAATATTCTTCTAATGGGGCCAACAGGATCAGGTAAATAGTTTTAACATTGTATTATGGGATGTTAAGGTAATCACGCTTCCATTCTAGGAATCGTGAAATGTTTAAATGAGTTGGACGCTCAGGGAATTTAGTTTCACTCTCGTTTTGTTAGTTGTACTACTGTATAAATTTTTTGTGTTGAGCCCTATGAGTACAAATTCTGCTGTTAAATCATTTTGATTAATTAAACAAATTGCTAAGATAACAAAGTTTAGTTCCTTAATCCTTTGCTTCTTCTGCCTTCATACCTTCATTTGTTTAAAATATCATTGATGCTTTGTTACTCCTGGTTACTAGTCTAACTTGTTTTGTTTGATACCATCTCAAGGACAGGGAAGACATTACTTGCCAAAACCTTGGCACGGTTTGTAAATGTTCCCTTTGTTATTGCAGATGCAACTACACTCACGCAGGCAAGTTTGTGGTCTTTTTTTATGTGTTATGATTTATCATTTGAACAAACAAACGGGCAGGGGGTTTTGAAAGATACATAAAGCTCCCCATGGATTTAGTAGCACTTCTTCCCTTCTTCCCCTTTCAAGAATTCAGCTGAGGGTCAGAAAGGCTGTAACATTTCAACAAAAAAATAATATAATGTCATATACTCAAAAAATTTAAACAATTTATTCTTTGATTAAAAGACGTACATTTATTACATGTTTCAGCTTTTTTTAAACTAGATTTTTGTGTTAAATTTTGTTCTCTGGAACTTACAGGTCTAACCCCAACACCACATTTGTGCAGGCAGGTTATGTTGGAGAAGATGTGGAGTCCATATTATACAAGCTCCTCATGGTAAATATTCTGATGTCTATATTATATTCATGCACCATAGTTATTCTTCTGAAAAGTTGGAACTTCACCAGTGATTTTGTATTCCTTTTAGGGATGATTTTTACCATTTTTTTTTGTAAATTTATAAAAATTCAAATCACATTTTCTTGCTTTTTAATGAGAAGTGGGTCTCAGATTCTATTTATATTTGGAACATAAACCGGGTACAAAGAAACAGTTGAATGTCTGAAATATGATTCAACCATGGAAAGAGAATAGGTTTTCTTGGTTTTGCAAATAATTTTCCTGTAATCCTTTCAGTTTTTAATTGATTATTCTTAACTAACTTTGGTTTCATGACAGCAAGGAATAGGAAAAAGGGAAGTTTGAGTTGTTAAAGTACTTTTATGCTTTCATGGTTGTGATCATAGAAAATCAAGTCTAAATTAATGCATAGGGGTCTCAGATTTTTCTATTAGGTAAATTATGGATCAGTTCAGTGCAATTTTAATCACAAAAGAATTTAGAATGTAATTGTGTACACATGAACTTCTAAAGCTGTATTTAGTTTCCATGCATATGAAGTCTCTTTGAATTGTGTAAGGAAACCGCCTATCCTGCGGGTGTACCATAAGGAAAGGCAGTAGGGGATCACATCCCAATTAATAGGATGTTGTGTAGAGTGTGATGTAGACAATTACCACCATAATTTTTTTAGTTTCCCTAAACTAAAGACATAATTTTTTTACAACACATGAAACTAAAACACTTAATGTAAACAGCCCAGACTAAAACACTAAATGTAAGCAGCTTAGCTACTTTGATTTCTGTAGCAAATTCGGGGGCGTTTGGTAGAAGGTATTTTTTAGGATTCCCGGGAAACTGAGGGTGGTAATCTCATTTACCCACGTTTGGTACGAGATTTCTAAAATTTTCCCTAGAATTTGATTTTTTCGGGATTTTATTTTGTGTGTAAAATTTTCTGAAAATACCATCCAAGAATACCACCCAGGGGTGGTATTCTAGGATTCTCATGGCAAGGGAAAATTTAACACAACGAAACATAGCATCAAGAAAATTAACTCAACATTCCCGAGTATATTTTGGCCTACCAAACAATTTTTTTGGTAACATTCCCGGGAAACTTATTTTTCCACCATATTCTTAGAAATCATGATTCCCGAGTAAAAAAAATTTCTCCTCTACCAAACGCCCCCTAAGGACATTTTCAGGGCAACAAAACAAGGACTTAGGCTTCAATCAAATGCAGAACAGAGGTCTGAGGCTTCAATCAAACACGGAACAGAGATTGAACAGTCAGTACAGACAAAAGTCGAACACTTTTGCAGCTGAACAGAGATCTTGTTCTGTGTTGTGTCTGAGAGAGGTTGATTCAGGTTTTGGGTTGAGTATGAGAGAGGTTGAACAGCAGTGTTTGACATGCAAGGTCGACTCCCCTTAAGATCGAGTTGCGGGATGAAGAAGAACATCATTTTTATTTTATTTTATTTTATTTTATTCTTTTGTTTTTAAGATTTGAGGTGTGGATCGCCTGGCTCAACCCATTACAGCCATGGGTCGCCCAGCTCCCCTAACTCATGCTGATCGCATGATCTCACTGTTTTTACGAGCTTTCCCAGCAATCCCACCATAATCCCAACATTGAATGATCCGCTGTGTGAATGGGATTGCGAAACACCATGAAACTCGTAGGATCGTGCGATCTTATGAGTATGATCGTGATTTTGACTACATTCAGGATGATCGCTACACTGATGATTACAAATGCAAGTTAAATAATTTATATTGCACATATACATTAATAGCTGTTAATTAGCTCTACCTTACAATTAGTCATTGATAACTCTTGTACTTAAATAAGATCAACTCTTGTACTCTAGTCCTAAATAAGATTGGCTGTGTGTAAACAAAACACGCATTTTCACTAAATATTCATTATAATTTCAACAGTTATCATTGTAAGCACTTTCTATTTTGTATTTTTTTCTTGTAAGCAGAGGAATTGATTTATTTACCCACTGTTCTTAGTCATACTATATGCTCTAATTATTGCTGAGCTGATTTTTTTTTCTTCTCTTTCTCTTTCTAAAAAGTAATGCCTACCTTCCTTTGTAATATGGCAGTGTATTATGGATAGTTTTAACATTGCTCAAGTTTATTTCCAGTCTGCAGATTATAATGTAGCAGCTGCTCAGCAAGGCATTGTTTACATTGATGAAGTTGACAAGATTACTAGAAAGGTTCTCCATTGTTATGTCCTATTAGAAGAGATCCATTAAAGGAAAGCTTAAGAAAATGAGAGAAAGCGAGAGAAAAGGTTGAGAGAGAAAGAGATGAAGAGAAAGCATTATTCTATTGAATCTGAACCAAATGAATCATTATTACAGAGAGAGAAATGAAGCTAACATTTATATACTAAATGGCTAACAGCTGTAACAGTGGCTAACAGCTGTAACAGCTTATGGTTGACAGCTGTAACAACTTATACAAATAAGTAGTTGTGACTAAAGTAAAGAGTTCTACTGTATATACACTAATATTCCCCCTTCAAACTTAAGTGGGTTGGATCAGGAGAGCATGATCCAAGACCTTGAGTTTGTCTTTTAATTCTGTAAACCTTGCAGCAGAGAGAGGTTTAGTAAATGTATCAGCAACTTGAAGAGAAGAAGGTATGTGAAGGACAGCAAGAGACTTTGCCAAGACTTTTTCACGAACAAAGAACAGATCAAGCTCCATATGTTTCGTTCTTGAGTGTAGAACAGGATTGTGAGCTAAGGCTACTGTGCTTTGATTATCACAGTATATAATAGGAGTTTTGCTTGACACATGAAGTTCTTGCAATAGTGTCTGAACCCACAAAATTTCTGCTGCAGTGAGAGCTAGGCTACGATACTCTGCCTCAGCACTAGATCTTGCCACTACAGACTGCTTCTTGGACCACCAGGAAATGGGATTGGAACCAAGGAATAAGCAAGCACCTGCGTGGATCTTCTATCATCTGGATCAGCCCCCCAATCTGCATCACAGAACCCAACAAGAGAGAGAGGCTGGTGTGGTGAGGCTGGATGAAATAGAAGACCATGAGACAATGTTCCCTTGAGATAACGCAAAATCCTTTTGACAATCTTCCAATGTTCTTCCAATGGTTGGGACATAAACTGGCAAACTTTATTTACGGTAAAGGCAATTTCTGGCCTTGTTAAGGTAACATACTGCAAGGCACCAACTATTGATCTGTAGAGGAAGGGATCAGCAACATAATTCCCCCCATGCTTGCTTAGTTTGCAGCCACTAGGCATAGGAGTAGAGATACCTTTTGCATCTGACATTCCAGCTTTGCACAGTAAGTCTTTCACATATTTACCTTGAGATAACAGAAGTCTCCCATGAGAAAGAGGCTTAACTTCTATACCCAGAAAATAATCCAAGGTTCCTAACTGTTTTAGAGCAAAGTGAGAGTTCATTTGATCAGTGATCTGTTGAATTAGAGCTGAGTTGTTTCCAGTGATGATGATATCATCCACATAGACTAATACATATATGCAGCTCCCATTAGAGTGAAGAATGAATAAAGAGGGATCACACTTGCTAGAGTAAAAACCAAGTTGTCGAAGAGTAGTTCCAAACTTTTCAAACCATGCACGAGGGGCTTGTTTTAGCCCATAAAGAGCTTTGTGTAATCTGCATACCAGATTCTTATTCTCTGTTTCAAATCCAGGGGGTTGTGTCATGTAGACCTCTTCGACAAGCTCTCCATTAAGGAAAGCATTGTTGACATCGAGTTGTTTTAAGGGCCAGCCATAAGAGAGAGCTAGAGTGAGAATAATTCTGATTGTGGTGGGTTTAACAACTGGTGAGAAAGTCTCATTGTAATCATAGCCCTGCTGTTGATGAAAGCCTTTGGCAACAAGCCTGGCTTTGTATTTGTTAACTGTTCCGTCACAATTTTCCTTGATGCGAAAGACCCATTTACACCCAATAGCCTTCCTGCCATGTGGTAAAGGAACAAGAGACCATGTGTGGTTAGATTGCAAAGCATCATATTCTAATTGCATTGCCTTAAACCAGTGAGGACTAGTCAAGGCTCCCTTAACTGATGTGGGTTCTGAATGAGTGAGGAGAACAAGATTTCTGGTTGCAGCCTTAGAGCGTGTGATAATAGAGTGTGTTGGAGAGGGAGGGTGCAGAGGACCTGATGGGACATACTCAGAGGAACATAATTCAGGACCAGAACTAGAGCTGGTGTTTTGACTGGAAACATTAGGAGTGTGAACAGAAGGTGATGGGGAAGAAGGTAAATGTGTGGCTGAATTCGAGAAATGACCAGACTGGTGTGTAGTGTTTGCTGACAGAGAAATGTTGGAGGAGTCAGAAGAAGGATCACTGTGAGGAACAGATGTTGATGAGGAATTAATAGATGATGCTGAATTAGTGGTGAGGCTGGTTGGACAAGTTTGTGGAAGGAAAATAGTTAGAGGAACAGAAGTAGAAGTAGAGGTAGACTGGTGCAAAACAGAAGAAGTTTTGTTAGTATGCCATTCTGTGTAAGGAAACTTGTATTCATTGAATAGGACATCTTTAGATATAAATATTCTGTTTTCTGGACTCAAGCAAATATACCCTTTATGATTGATAGAGTAACCAAGAAAAATGCACTCTTGAGATCTAAACTCAAGCTTATGTTTGTTGTAAGGTCTTAGAAAAGGGAAACAAGCACAGCCAAAGGTTCTAAGAAAGCTGTAATCAGGTTGTTGATGGTGCAACTTAATGTGAGGGATTTCAAATTTGATAGCAGAGGAAGGAAGTCTGTTTATAAGGTAAGTAGCTGTGGTAAAGGCATAGTCCCAGTATTGCATTGGAAGAGATGAATGAGCTAAGAGGGCTAGACCAGTCTCTACAATATGTCTGTGTTTTCTTTCAACAACACCATTTTGGTGAGAAGTATGTGGGCAAGTGATTCGATGAGCTATTCCTTGCAAGTTAAGATATTGAGTAAAGGCTCTAAACTCCCCTCCCCAATCTGTTTGTAAAGCTTTTAGAGGGAGTTGGAACTGATTGGTCACCATGGCATGAAATTGTTTGAAAATGCTTATTGCATCTGATTTTTGCTTTATTGGATAAAGCCATGTGTACCTAGTGCAGGCATCAACGAATGAGATATAATAAGCATTGCCTAGAGTGGATTTAAGAGGTGATGGTCCCCACAAGTCACTGAAAACAAGAGTGAATGGCTCTTTGTATTCTGTATGAGATGGTAAAGAATGTTGTCTATGAGACTTTGCACAACAACAAGAAGGACAGAATTCAGCCAATTTATTATTGATGTGTATATTACAAGATTTGAGTACACTTTTAAGGGAATTAAAGTGGGGATGTCCCAGCCTATAATGCCATAAGGAATACAAAGAGCTAGAAGGGCTACATATATCAGAAACAGTTCTAGAACAATGACTATGTGTTTTGCTATTTGGACTAACAGCATTAACAACATTAACAGACTTGTTGATAGTCGAGGACACAGGAGAGCTAGCACAGATGTTACTGGTTGCAGAAGTATGACTTTTGGAGGGCTTCAACTTTGGAAAATAGTACAACCCATCAGAACCCACTGCACCTTGAAGGAGGACTTTATGTGAAACCTGGCATTTTACAAAACACACATCAGAATGAAACTCAAAGAAAACTGAGTTGTCTTTAGCAAATTTGCTAACACTGATAAGATTGAGGGAACCAAAAGTAAATTCTGAAGGTGCAGGTGAGTGTTAGAGTCAAAAGGAGATTGAAAAGAGGAGGAACCAGTAGCTGTTATAGGAAGACCTTGTCCATTTCCAATCAGAACATGATCAGTACCACTAAGTTGCTGGCCTTGCATAATATTTTGAGATGTACCAGTTACATGACTTGATGCACCAGAATCTGGTAACCATTCAACCAGAGGGGGAGAACTACATGTGGAAGGTAGACTAGAAGGAGCAGCAAAGTATGCTTGAGGCTGAGACTGACTTGTTGGTCTTGTATACTGGAAAGATCTCATTGGTTGAGATTGTTGGTGTTGATACTGGAAGGACCTCACTGGTTGAGGTGGTTGATGAACAAAGTGTTCATCAAGCTAGTAACTCCACTGTTAGATCTGCAATAGTGCAGTCTCGTTCTCGTCCTATGTATCATCATAACGAAAGAAGTATACTCTGATGGTAATCCTTCAAGAATAGTCTCAGTGTGCTCCTCA